CCCAAAAGTAAATTTGACAGCTATAGGGAGGTGTCTTTTGCTAAATTTTGAGATCATAGGTAGGTGTCGTCTAATTTTAAAATCAACAATTATCAATTTTTATGTTGTTAAAATGCATCCAAAACATCATTTTTATAACAAACGTTAAAATTACCTAACGGAATAATTGGTCAGACCATTATTCCGCAAGGAAAATGAAATTGCATTCAGAATGCGCCACCTTCATATCGATCACGATACTAATGTAATCGATCTTTCCTTTACCGATTTCTTTTGAACTGCGTACTGGGTCAAGAAATGCTAATTAAAAGAAATTTCTTTAGCATTCCGTGTCCTATCCCGTCGAGTATCCCGTAGCCCGTAAAAACGTCATTACTTTTCAGCTGCGTACCATGCTTTAAGCCTACCCGTAAAAAAAAGAACCGTAGAGGTACAATGAAATGTATTGTAACCATACAATAGAGTTTATGGTATTTACAATAAATCGTATTCTCCACAACGATAAAATAACAATAGAATGTATTGTTTCTACAATAGAATCTATGGTAAATGGGGGATTATACAATAGATTAAGGGGGTCGTTATGAATCTTAACCATACGAAAAATCATTTTTTCCCGAACAAACTTGAACCATTTACCATTAATTGTATTGTTGTTCTATTGTTGAAAACTCTTACTATATGGGACGTATTGTACATCTATTGTAATTACAATATGTTAAAACTTCGTGTACTATATACACACAATAAGATCGATTGTTGGCAATAGATTTACTTGTAACTGTATTTTATTTTATGGTAATTGTATGGTTATTTTTTTCCGGGTAACTTGATCAGTTTTGAGACAGACGTGAACAAGAACAGTTCAGTTGGTGACTAACCTGCTATTGCAATTTTTTAGTGTACCACATGGCAACACCACTACTACTGGATTGTACCACATGGCAACACTACTACTGGATTGAACTAGCATTTTCATCAAATGTACTAGAATGTTTTGGTTCTATCTCTTTCACTCTACTCAAAACTGAAATGCATAAAAAAAATGACAAAATGATACACTCTTTGCACACATCAAAGAATCATTGTACACAAAATCAACTTTGTGCAAAACCAAAACAAAAATAGTATCCCATCTGGTGGATGATGGCACAAGCTTCTAAGAAAATTCTATTACAGCGAACCACATTATTTTAATTGATTTCTTCGCCAGTTAGTCGTCTGTCACTTCTTTTGTGGTTCAGTTGTGTGCATCAATTTACAGATTGAAAAGATGGAGAAATCTGGGAAATCCGACAGGATGAATGGACGGTTTGTTTTCCCACTAATCTGTTTCCCTCTTGCTCGCACTCGTTCGATTTAAATGGTACAGTAGTGTGCGCCGATAAATTTTGATTGACTGTTGTCATTGGATGTATTCTGATGTTTTATGCGTGCAACAAATTACATCGTGATGAAGTTTGATTCTAATGTCACGTTAGGTTCTGTTGTCATTGAATGTATTCTGATATTTTATGCGTGCAGCAAATTACATCGTGATGAAGTTTGATTCTAATGTCACGTTAGGTTCTGTTGTCATTGGATGTGTTCTGATGTTTTATGCGTGCAATAAATTACATCGTGATGAAGTTTGATTCTAATGTAACCTTAGGTTCTGTTGTCATTGGATGTATTCTGAGAAAACACGTAGCTAAAGCATCGCAAACGGGAAAACTTCCATGGAAATTGAGAGCTGAATGAGGATAACTTGATCAGTTTTGAGACAGACGTGAACAAGAACAGTTCAGTTCAGTTGTGTGCATCAATTTACAGATTGAAAAGATGGAGAAATCTGGGAAATCCGACAATGGCCTCCGCTGTTCCAGAATCCAACGAAGATCGTCGGGCGCGAAAAATCCTACGAACGACTACAACTCGTATCGGTGACCCAGTTTGAGACAGGTTTGCTCTGGCGACGTGATGCAAGAAACTTTCCTGACAGCTACGGAATGGCGAAACGACGATTGATAGGTTTAGAGCGAAAGTTGACAAAGGATCCTCAGCTGCATGAGGAAGTAAGGCGCTAAATAAAGGAATATCAAATGAAGAAGTATGCGCACATAGCTACGCAAGAGGAGCTGGCCAAATCCGATCCAGCCACAGTATGGTATCTACCACTAAATGTGGTTAAACATCCCCAATAGCCTGAAAAGGTACGCGTCGTGTGGGACGCTGCAGCGAGAGTCCAAGGTGTTTCGCTGAACTCGGAGTTGCTCAAGGGTCCTGACATGCTGTCTCCGCTTCCGTCCGTACTCAGTCCTTTCCGAGAGCGCCGTATTGGATTTGGTGGTGACGTGAAAGAAATGTACCACCAATTAAAGATACGGAAGGAAGACAAACAGGCTCAATGCTTCCTTTTCTTTACCGAACCGGGAGACACTAAGCCGCAGGTTTATGTTATGGATGTTGCGAAATTTGGATCAACTTGGTCGCCGTGCTCCGCTCAGTTTATAAAGAACTTAAACGCGGAGGAGTTTTCCGGACAATTTCCGGATGCTTTCGACGCTATAACATACCGTCATTACGTAGATGATTACTACGATAGCGCAGACACTTCGTCAGAAGCAGTGAAGCTGGCCAAGGAAGTTAAATATGTGCACTCGAGAGGAGGATTCCATATTCGGAATTGGGTGAGCAATTCGGAAACATTCGTTCAAGAAATGGGTGAAGAAGACATTGTCCATACCGTCCATTTGAATGATAAAGCTGCTGGTACTGATCGAGTTCTCGGAAACATCTGGAACACGAAAGACGATACCTTTTCGTTCGTCGCTCCATCCCGGAAGAACGATGACGAGCATCCGACCAAACGAGGCATCCTGAGCTGTGTCATGTCGCTGTTTGATCTAATGGGCCTCTTGTCACCGTTCACAGTGCTCGGTAAGATGCTCATACAGGATTTGTGGAGAACTGGATGTGAATGGGATGCACCTATTGACAAAATTTCGCTCGTTCAGTGGAAGAACTGGGTCGAGCAGATGTCGATGATCGAAGCGGTGAGAATTCCAAGAGCATATTTCGGAGACGCAACAACAGATCAACTGCGCGAAAAACAACTACATGTGTTTACCGACGCTAGCGAAGCCGCTTACGGTTGCGCTGCATACTTTCGGGTCGTGGTGCGTGGAGAGGTTCGATGTGTTTTGGTGATGAGCCGCACTAAAGTGGCGCCGCTTAAGCAATTGACAGTTCCGCGATTGGAGCTCCAAGCCGCGGTGTTGGGAGCGAGACTAGCGAAGACGGTATACAGCAATCACAGAATTGTAATCGGGACGCAAATTTTCTGGTGCGATTCACAGAGTGCTTTCCTGGATACGTTCCGATCAGCTTAGCTTTTGTGGGATTTCGAATTGGCGAAATGTTGGAACTCACAAGGTTGTCGGATTGGCGATGGGTACCGACGAATCACAACGTTGCAGATAAGCTAACAAAGAAAAGCCTTGAACGGGATTTCGAGGTGGGCAGCACCTGGTTCAACGGACCAAAGTTCTTGTACCAGGATGAAGCTGAATGGCCGCAGCAACCTGCGATACCAACAATCGTCGAGGAAGATCTGAGAGCCGTCTACCTATTCCATGACATTGCTATACCGCAATCCCTAATAGATGTTCAGCGAATTAATAAGTGGACCGTGTTGGTGTGCGTAATGGCTTGCGTGTTTCGCTTCATGTCAAATTGTAAAATAAAGAAAGAAGGGTTGCCGATTGAGACTATCAAACTGACAAAACAACAAGAAAAGGTATTGCTCAATTGCGGAACAGCGATTCGGACACCGTTGTAACAGGACGAATTCCGTAAAGCAGAGTGTTTCCTAATAAAAACTGTTCAGGCGGAGGAATACCCGGTCGAGTTTAAAGTGTTGCTGAAAAATCAAGGACAGCTACCTAGACAGAGCACATGCTAAAATCATACGGAAAACTTGGTAGGCAAGGTGTTCGTTCGTAGGTACAATGCATATTTAAGGATGAACTTAGAAGTGAAATAATCAGTAAGGAAACAAAAGCTTTGTTAATCCAAAGATATTATGTAAAGCCAGTGTTTTATAAACGATGAATTTTAAGTGTTCTTGTTGTTGTTTGTAGGTTTCAAATGCTTTAAAGAGGAATCTTACCCAAGCTCTTCAAGTTCATGCGGTGAAGAAAAAAGTGAAATTAGATGGCAGTTCCCAAACAAAGTCTGAGATCAAATTGAAATCTAAATTTGATGTTGTGATTTCGCTGATAATGATTTGATGTTATGCTAAGGCAATGAATGATGTTATGCTAAGGCAATGAAAACAAACCCGCAACAACATATTTTTGAAGAGCATATGTACAGCAAAATGAAAACAAAATTTGGTATCAAATTTGTCCATTGCGTAAACTGAAATCAAATAATGATTTCAGTTTGATGTTGATATCAAAACTTGATTTCAATTTGCTGTCATTTTGATGCTGGACTTTGCTCGGGTTGCGTCTCCATTGGTACATAGCTGACATAGTCACATAATGCATTTCAATTTTTTACTTGCATAGGCTTGTTTATTCTAAGTGAATACTTCAACAAGTAAATAACTGTATAGATAGAGCACATGCTAAAATCATATGGAAAACTTTGTAGGTAAGGTGTTCGTTCGTAGGTACAATGCATGGTGGTAAATTTAAGGATGAACTTAGAAGTGAAATAATCAGTAAGGAAATCATAAGTACGGCAGTGTGAAAATTGTATACAGAGAGGACGAACAAGGACAACTTTTAGGAAGATACAAATCCAAACTCCCCCGTTGGAGAGGGATGATGAAGGTTCAGTTATGTTACTGTAAATTCGCAGTTACTGTAACAGCATAAGTATATTGTCCGGTGGAATTGCTTACCTTGCTTTGTTATGTTTTCTAACACACCTATGCCAAAAGCTTAGGTATATGATGACAAAAATGTTCCTCAAAGTGCAATTGAATAAGAAGAAATCTCTACATACATCTCTTTATTGTGTATAAAACCTAATAAAGTTTAAAAAAAAATAATTTATAAAACATGTACTGCCTTAATTCATACTCTAATAGCTATATTTTTTAGAAAGATAATTCCAATACTTTGAATTTAGCGGGGCTGAGAAAATGTTAAACCAAGTGGGTATCTACAATTTAAGCCGATTCGTTCCATTCACCTTACTCTTAAGATTTCTTGCTCACAATATTCGTTCGCCTTGGATGGTTTTTCCAAACTACTCTGGTAAATCTTTCACTAAGACAGACATTTGACACATTTAACTTAATCCATTAATATAAGCAGATTAAGGTACAAAAATGAACCAAAAAGAAAAATAGTTCGGTTAGTTCACTCATCGTTTATCTTGCTCTCAGAACAGTCTCTTCTCATAAGAAAACAGGCTATGTACATTGCCTTCAGCTTGTGCTGAGTGAGTACGTCTCATAAAGCGCAGCTTTCCATTGTAAATCATTTCCCTGTAACAAAAAAAAACATGATAAACCAGTGCCACAAAAAATATATATAACATACTTCAGATTGTGTAGAGATCTGGTGCCAATATCTTGGCAACTATGTTGTAATCCGCACTGCAGATAGGGCAGAAACCTTAAAACAGATCCTTTGTCGACGATGCTTCCACTTACTCCCTGGGCTACACGCAGTTTGTCAATATCGGTATGGAAATAACGTGCACCAGCAGCTCCTTTCGCATCTTTACGCTCCATTGCTTCAAGACTGCCCATTCCTCGGTACTTCTTCAGCCGAACACCGTCACTGAAGAAATATTCACCAGGAGCTTCTGAAGTACCGGCGAGCAGCGATCCCATCATCACTGAAGATGCCCCCAACGAAAGAGCCTTCATGATGTGTCCGATAGATTGTATGCCTCCGTCTGCGATTACCGGAACACCGAATTCTCGTGCAATTCTACTGACTTGGTAAACGGCAGTTGCCTGGGGACACCCACATGCCATGACCTCTTGGGTAATGCAGATGGACCCAGAACCCATTCCAACGCGTAGTGCGTCACATCCAGCATCAATCAGAGTTTTCGCCTGTTGGCGAGTTACCACATTTCCAGCGATAACCTAAAATGTTTTTCGAATCATTTAACAACTAGGTAACATTAAATTATCTAAAGAGAAAGTATACCTGCAAATCGGGATATTTTTGTTTGATATATTTAATCATATTGATCTGGTAAGATGAATTGCCCTGGGAGGAATCTAGTACAACTACGTCAACTCCGTTTTGTACCAAGAGTTCAAGGCGCTCCTTATCCTCTTCCCTGGTTGAAATTGCAGCGCCAACGAGTAGTTGTTTGTTGCTATCTTTAGATGCATTCGGATAGCTCCTTGCTTTTTTCAAATCAGTCCTAGCTATAAGGGCAACCAATTCACCATTTTTATTCACTATCGGCAGTTTTCCTTTCTTGCTTTTTTCTAAAATATGGTTGGCTTCCTGCAGTGTTACTCCACTCGGTGCTGTTACCATATCCTCAACTTTTGTCATAATGTCTTTGAGCTTAAGACCAACGTCTTCTTCGCGGAAATCAATATCCCTTGATGTAACAATGCCTAACAATCGTTCTCCAAGTCGACCGTGCTCAGTAATAGGATAACCGGTAAAGCCATTCTTTTTCTTGGCCTCCAAAACATCGGCTACTGTATTGTCAGGGCTCATAACCATCGGATCACGAATGAATCCATGCTTATATTTTTTGACCTTATGGACCTCGTTGGCTTGGAACTCCGGAGTGCAGTTGTGATGAATGATTCCGATACCACCACATAGCTGCAAGTAAAAAATAGGGATTAATAATAATATTATTATAAAAGATAAAAAAAATGTTATAATTAATAAATAGATTTATTTTGCATTTATTGAAAAAGGAGGGTTTATTTTCCGATTTTGTTTCATAGCAGACGATCGTAGTTGCTCTCCAGCGAATAGGATCACAGTCACAGAATCACACTTCTTTAAAAATGAACGCCATAGTAAAATATACAATTCAACGACAACCATTTTAAATTACATCTCAAAATCAAGCGCATTATTTTACCTTGCAAGCGCAGTAATCTCCATTTTTGTGTTCCATTGGCCAAAAATAAAATGGAAGGGAAAAACTCTAGATGAGGAAAGATGATTGATTTGTATTGCTGTATTTTATTGGTAATAGTTAAATCGTTTTTCAATCGACGTAGAACTCCATACTTCTTTCCAATTTTCTTGATAACAGAGAGTAGAACTTAAGTTTGTCATCAATCAATTACAACGGAGACGTTATCATTTACTCTTTACCATGAATTTAGTTTTACTTATTTTCAATTTCAATTGCTTATTTATTTATTATAATCGCATATCAGTCCCATCGTTGCTTGACTTCCTATCCATATGGGACTGTTATGCGATTATGGGTTCGAGAATGCAAATCTTCATTCAAGTGTTAAACGGCATCATCTTAATCTATTTATTTATTTTATTTATTTTGATTGAGCAATAAGGGCCAAGAAATTGTCTCAAATGCGCGTTTTAGATCCAAAAACAGTAAAAATCGCATCTTTACGCTCCAAATTATCTTTCTACTTTGCTAATACCAAATTCAACGCGGTTGATGCGACAAAACTCTTCGGCTTTATTCGTTCCAGCAACTTTTTGAATCGGAACCACCAAGGATTCCTTCCAAATTTGAGGCACATATCCAGTCTGCAATGATTGATTAATAAGGCCAACAAGATGTGGCCAATGACATGAAAGCAATCATGCAATGCAATGTAATGCAATGCAATAACTCTAGCATTAACATTATCTATTCCAGCCGCTTTTCTCAATGAAAAGCAAATAACTCTAAGTTCATTGGGTAACCTTCAAATCTAAACCGGCTATTTTATTTCATCAGGTTCATCGTAATGATTGGATTGATTAATTAATGAAACACTGTCGACAAAATAATCATTACATTTAGAAGCAATTACCTGTTTGACTATTCTAATGTGCCATTAAAAGTTATGGATCAATCTTCCTCTGAACATATTCACAACGAGTTTTTTACCGATTGTAAATATTTATTACGCGCGATTGTGCACCCATTCCAATGATTGTTACTATTTGATCTACAACACTTGTTGTACCATTTGTCCCTTTTCCATTTAAGACGCAAAAGATCCAAATCCAAAGACAGCTGGTAGTTTGAGTTTTCAAAGAAACAAACTTTTGCTCTACTAATGGTGGGCGTTGGCCAGATATGGATTTTTCAGATATAATCCTAAATAGGACCTAGATAATTTAATACTAGAGTCCGTGCTCTGTCACAATGTTTCATTGTAAATAATCAACACTCAATGGGTAAAATATCAAATTTCAAATGAATTTGAAAGAAAGGGAACTTGGAGTGTAGAGCGCACTGCCACTGGACGGTTCTGACGCCTGGCCAAGTGAGTGGGTTATGGTTTTATTTGATTGGACGTCATTTCCAATTTATATACTGATACATTCAAATCATTGGCATTTGGTATTCGAGATAAGACAGAGATAGGACGTGGAGGGCCCGCTTAGGGGGAGCGTAACCCATGTTATGGTTTCCATTTATTAAATAGTTCAAATGGGCTAGAAGTGACAGGTTCATAGTGAGAGAATGTACCATATGGTGCCCGTTCACTGATCAAAATCAAGTTTTATTTTGCATTTGCATATAATTATGGGAACGAGTGGAACTTCGGATTAGAAAGTGGCTCCACTTTTCATTTGCGAACACTAGCGCACCTAGCGGTAGAAGGCATCTTCTGCCTGCAATTAAGATAGGCAGCATGCTATGATAGTGTGAGTGCACATAGAAAGCCTATGTGGAAAGCTACCACAACACATTGCTTGTTGATTCATCGATTTGTTTGCATTTCCCCTTCTGTTCTGTGATATAATTGTAATTTTAAGTTTGCTTTAATTGTGAGATAAAGAGTTTACCTCAATTGAAACATAGAGTTGTATAAACTTGACGAATCATACATCTAACATAGTGGTAGTTACAGTTTCATATGATCTAACAACCACTGCCTGCAACTAATGTTGGAGGGGCCGGCAGGGCTGATTACGAATCAAAACTAACATAACAACACTAAAATGATCCCGAAACAAACGCTCATTCATTGAGCAAAACCAATTTCAAACTTGTTCTGCATTATTCACATGTTGCAATCACCCTGTCTGCTCAACAAGCGATGCGTTATGGTAACGTTCCATACGGGCTTCAATGTGCACGCACACTATCATAAAGACTGGAACGCACAAAAATTGGTCGACAAAATCGTTTCTTTCAGTCAAAATTCATATCACAAAAATCTTCTTATTTTTCTTTTGATGGTTCAATTCATATATTTAAATGAAAAAATGTTAGTTTATTCTTTTGGTTTGCCAAATCCGAACTGCCGTGTCTTCCGCTTAACCCTTTCGATTAAATTATGCACAGTGGTCTCATCGCCGTTGAACGCCAGTTGGATTTAAACTGCTGCTCGTTTTCCATGGATTTATAAGTTTTTTTTTTTTAGATTCCGTTTGACCAAGGCCCAATACCGTTCGATAGGGCGGAGTTCTGGGCTGTTGGGAGGGTTGTGGTCTTTTGGTACCACAACCACGTTGTTCGCATCGTACCACTCGATTGCCTTTTTCCCATAGTGGCAGCTCGCCAAGCCCGGCCAGAACAGCACAGGTCTACACGGATAGAAATCTCCTTATACCTTTTGGCAAATTTCCATTGCTGATTATTCATAAAATGTATAAGTCAACTAATAAGCAGACGCCTTGCAAAAAGTTAATAAAGATCATGTGTCAAATTAAATGTATAAGCGGTCACACATACCTTTTATGCATTCTAATAGGACCTATGTGGTTTGTCTTATGGAATGTATAAGGCTGATGCTTTGGCAAAAATGTATAAGTGAAACACATGAATTAAATAATTGATTTTCGTTTCGTGTATTATGTTGCTTTAGGAATGGTAGCGACCGCTTTTCCAGGCACTCCTGGACGTAGATCTCTTGATTGATGGTTCCCGTAGTAATGAAAATGTCGCGTTTTAGACAACGCGTGCATATGGCCTGCCAGACGAGATATTTTTTCGGGAACTTCGATAGTTTGATGGTTTTGAAAATTTCAGCCACCTTCCCTTTTCCTGATGTAGTATAAAACTCCAGTCCCGGAAGCTGCTTGAAATCCGCCTTCACATAAGTTTCATCGTCCATGACGACACAGTCGAACTTTGTGAGCAGATTCGTATACAGCTTTCGGGACCGCTGCTTTGCCTTTAGAGTTATGACGTGTAGAATGATCTGATCTCGCGCGTCAAAAGGATAGAGGAAGATATGAAGAAGGTTTTTCAACTCTCGGACTCGATCACTGGCATGCGATATCACATTGCTGCTCAGGTGGACATCGCGGTTAAAAGCGTGATGGCAGACATTAGACTAAATGTAAATGACGAATTTCACGCTAACTCGACAAAGGAATTGGCAGCACCCTCTCAGATTTCAATGAAACTTTGTGGGCGTGTAGATTTCGTCTACCTAAGCAACTTTGCATACTTATTTTTTTTTTTAACGCTAGGCCAACATTTAAAAAGGGCGGAACTCTTTTTATTAATACTTTCTTCAAAAAATTATAGCTCAATAATATCAAGTCCTACAAAAATGTTGCCAAAGGATGATTTGAAGATAAATAAATGAGCTTGCATAGTAAAATACCAAAACATTAAAAAAATTATTTCTACACTGAAGAAAAAAATGTTTAAAATTTAAAATTAAGATTTCTCAAAAATACCATTTTTTAAAAATCGTAATTTTTTTCTACAGATAGGCAGACCATTTATCTATGACTCATTCATATATCTCAAGATGAGCACTTTTAAAGAAAAAAGTTATTTAACAAAAACTTTTTCGTGTTCGCACTGAATAAAATCAATGATTTTTTTTTTTTGAGTTCTCTCCACTCTCCCCTACACCAAAAAGCTCCATTTTGAGCCCCCTGGTAGTGGACACTCAAAAACTCAGCCATAGGCAACATCATAAATACAAAACACTACATATAAAATGGCTGAGCATATTTTAATTTACAATTCTACAATAAGGAGATACTATTACGAACAAAACAATTTGTGCGCTTCTATAGTGGATAAAGTATCCTTTTAAAGAAGCGCATGTATTTAAAACATTACAAAATTAATAATAATATTCATACTAAGGAAAGATGGACAAATAACTAATACTTAAATGTTTGATGACGGTTAAAATATAATAACAAAAAGAAAGAAAATATAATTAAGCTTAAATTAATAGTTGTGGTATTTGCGATCGTAAATAACTTTTAATGTTAGATTTAAATGATGAACGATCTAATAGCATCTGTATATCTCTGGGTAGGTTGTTAAATTTGGCTGGACCTATAAAAGTAAACCGTTTCTGATCAAAGTTTGTATACGCACGAGATCGAGAGAGATGATTAATTTGCCTGGTGTTGTGTAATCGTGGCGTCACATTTAAAGTTGAATTGTGGATACTTGCTGGATTATGTTGCATATTATGAATCAAGAGCAATGTTTGTTCTTCACACATGCCCTGTATAGGCAATACTTTATGTGGAAAATCTGTGAAAAATCTGTGTACAACCGGACAGATGGAAACAGGAAAGGTAGGTTATAGATTATTTTAATACATCGATTTTGTAATACTTGCAGTCTTTTAAGCTTTGATTTATAGGCTCTGCCCCATACAATTATCAAATAGTTCAGCTGTGAGTAAATGTGAGCG